AGACGGGGTTTCACTGTGTTAGCCAGGATGGTCTCGATCTCCTGACCTCGTGATCCGCCCATCTCGGCCTCCCAAAGTGCTGGGATTACAGGCTTGAGCTACCGCGCCCGGCCGACTCTTGTGCTTTTTAGAAAACATGAAGGTAGTTTTCCTTGTTTGCAAAGCTAGGGCTGAGGGGCCAACATTTCTTACAAAAACATAAAATTAAATTAATTTTAAAATATATTTCTTTTTCTTTAGAGACAGAATATTATTCTGTCTCCCAGGCTGGAGAGCAGTGGAGCAGATCGTAGCTTATTATAACCTCACACTCTTGGACTGAAGTGATCCTCCTGCCTCAGCCGCCCTAGTAGCTAGGACTGTAGGTGCATGCCACCAGGACCAACTGATTTTTTAATTTTTTGTAGAGACAGGTTCTCACTATGTTGCCCAAGTTGGTCTCAAACTCCTGGCCTGAAGTGATCCTCCTACCTCAGCCTCTCAAAGTGCTACAATTACAGGCATGAGCCATTGTACCTGATTTTATTTTATTTTATTTTATTTATTTTATTTTATTTTATTTTATTTTATTTTATTTATTGAGATGGAATCTCAGTCTGTCTCCCAGGCTGGAGTGCAGTGGCGTGATCTCGGCTCATTGCAACCTCCACCTCCCGGGTTCAAGTGATTCTCCTGCCTCAGCCTCCTGAGTAGCTGGGCTTACAGGCCTGCACCACCTCACCTGGCTAATTTTTTGTATTTTTAGTAGAGACAGGGTTTCACCATGTTGGCCAGGCTGGTCTCGAACTCTTGAACTCAAGTGATCTGTCTGCCTCGATCTCCCAAAGTGCTGGTATTATAGGCATGAGCCACTGCGCCCAGTGCCTGACTCAATTTTAAAATGTATTGACTGCCTGTTATTTTCCTAACATTATTTATTTGTTAGCAAATATTTATTGAATGGCTACATTTAAGGTCCTCTGCTAGGCACTGGAGATGTAATGATGAATGAGACAGACATGGCTTCTGCCCTCATATACTTACAGTCTAAGGCATACGATAGCTCGAGAAGCCAGACTTTAAACATTACAACTGTGTTAAGTGCAAATATAGAAAGACTTGAGAGCTTTAGGGGGACCTAACCTCATCTTGAACAGGGAAGGCTACCCTGAGAAAGTGACATTTATGCTGAGACCTGAAGTGGTGACGGGAAGAGGAAATAGCAAGAATGAGCTTAAGAAGGCTAGTGAGGCCTGGCACAGTGACTCACGCCTGTAATCTCAGCACTCTGGGAGGCCTAGACGGGTGGATCACCTTAGGTCAGGAGTTCAAGACCAGCCTGGCCAACATGGTGAAACCCCATCTCTACTAAAAATACAAAAACTAGGTTGGCAGGCACCTGTAGTCCCAGCTACTCGGGAGGCTGAGGCAGGAGAATGGCGTGAACCCGGGAGGCGGAGCTTGCAGTGAGCCAAGATCGGGCCACTGCCCTCCAGCCTGAGCGACAGAGCGAGACTCCATCTAAAAAAAAAAAAAAAAAAAGGCGAGTGAGACTAAGTCAGAGAGGCACGAGGCATAGATGAGGTTCTAAAAGAGCAACAAGCCCTCATGCCCAAGTGCTTATTAAGCTTCTGCTTGTGTCACATTTGCTGATGTCCCATTCACTAATGGAAGTCACCTGACAAAAACCAGAGTCAAGGTGGGTGGGACTACATAAAGGCATGGATACCAGCAGGCATGATTCACTGTGGACCATTGATATAACTGTTTAGGCCAGGTGCAGTGGCTCATGCCTGTAATCCCAGCACTTTAGGAAACTGAGGCAAGAGAATCAAGCCCAAGAGTGCAAGACCAACCTGGGCAATGTAGTGAGACCCCCCCCACCTCTATTTAAAAATAATAAAATATTATTTAATATATATTTTATGCATACAAAATATGTAGGCATGTTATGCCGAGACCTGCTCGGTTGGGGAGACCCTAACCCAGTGGCACGAGAGGAATTGAAGACACACACACAGAAACATAGAGGTGTGAGGAATCAGGGGTCTCACAGCCTTCAGAGCTGAGAACCCCGAACAGAGATTTACCCACATATTTATTAACAGCAAACCAGTCTTTAGCATTGTTTCTATAGATATTAAATTAACTAAAAGTATCCCTTAAGGGAAACGAAGGGATGGGCCGAATTAATTGCAGCAGGAACATGCTCTTAAGACACAAATCGCTCATGCTTTTGTTTGTGGCTTGAGAATGCCTTTAAGCAGTTTTCCACCCTGGGCGGGCCAGGTGTTCCTCGCCCTTGTTCCCGTAAACCCACAACCTTCCAGTTTGGGCATTACAGCCATTATGGACATGTTACATTGCCGCAGAGATTTTATTTGTGGCCAGTCTTGGGGCCAGTTTATGGCTAGACTTTGGGGGGCTTGCTCCCAACAATTTTATATATAATATGTACATATTATATATAATATACCATATTATACATATATATAATATGTACATATTATATATAATATACCATATTATACATATATATAATATATGTATTTTTGTGTTCCCTATTCCTTTGAATGGTTCTACATCTACCCAAATGCTCATACCAGAAATCTAAAAGTTAGCCTTTGTACCATTTTCTTCTACACCAGAAGATAATTCTTCTTCACAATACAAGTCTGAATATCTCTCTTCATCCTTTTTTGGTTGCTATTTACGGAGCTCTCATGACATGCCAGGCACTGCACTAAGTACTTAACACATTTTTTCACATAATCTTCTAACCACCGTGAGAGATTGGTATTATCGTTCCCATTTTGTGAATTTATTGATTTATCAAACATTTATTTAGTTCTTACTATAACCAGCTCAGTTTTAGGACCTAAGATTACAAAGATAAACAGATGAAGCAATAAACTCTCTGACATCAAAGCCCGTAGTCCTGACCACTGACTATACTGTCACCATATTGTCTTCAGAGACTCCCCATTCTTTCTGGGTAAAATTTGTATGTTGTAGCTTAACAGACTGACCCTGTTTACTTCTTTGGTTTCACCTCTTGTTAGTATCCACACATATCCTATATTTTTCTCACACTCAACAACGTTAGATCCCTAACTAGGACAAGGCTTGTCATTCTACTTTCCTTTGCATATATTGCTTATGTTTCTATTTTCTTAAAACATGTTTTTCTCGCATCTTCACTGGGTTGAAATCTTCCTCTAGGGAAGCTGGGAGTTTTCTGTCCCTCTATATTCCCAATCTAAAATAAATATTCCTTCTTTGTGCTCTTGTATACTCTCTGTGCTCTGTACTTACTTCTGTAATAGCACTTATCACACTATATTATAGTGATTGGTTTACTACACAGTCACCCCTCACTAAATTATGGGTTTCTTTGAAGGCAAGGATTGTGTTTTCTTCTTAATTTCTGTATTCTAATTACCTAACATAGCACCTGGCATGTAGTAGGCCCTCAATAAACATTTGTGGAATGAATGTGGCATCAGGAGAAACTGCCTCACAGATTTAGGCATGATTATATATTGAGGACAAAATTAAAACTGGCCTAAGTGAAGTGGCAGATTCATGTTTGTTAAATTAAAAAAAGAAAAAAATGCCAGGTGCAATAGCTCACACCTGTAATCCCAGCACTTTAGGAGGCTGAGGTAGGAGGATCACTTGAGCTCAGGAGTTCAAGACCAGCCTGGTTAACATAGCAAGACCCCGTCTCTACAAAACATTAGCCAGGCATGTTGACGTGCACCTGTGGTCCCAGCTACTTGGGAGGCTGAGGTGGAAGGACTGCTTGAGCTGGGTAGGTAGAGGTTGCAGTAAACTGTGATTGCACCACTGCACTTCAGCCTGGGCGACAGAGTTAGACCCTGTCACACACACACACACACACACACACACACACACACACAAAGGAAAAAGAAAAGAGAGAAAGAGGAAAGAAAAGAGAAAGAAAATGAATGGTTAAAGCAGAGTCAGAATATGGAAGCCTTCAAATACAAGTTTAAGGAGTTTGGATTGATCTAATTAAGAAGAGCCATTTCAAAACTTTGTTGGCCGGGCCCGGTGGCTCAAGCCTGTAATCCCAGCACTTTGGGAGGCCGAGACGGGCGGATCACGAGGTCAGGAGATCGAGACCATCCAGGCTAACACGGTGAAACCCCTTCTCTACTAAAAAATACAAAAAACTAGCCGGGCAAGGTGGCGGGCGCCTGTAGTCCCAGCTACTCGGGAGGCTGAGGCAGGAGAATGGTGTAAACCCGGGAGGCGGAGCTTGCAGTGAGCTGAGATCCGGCCACTGCACTCCAGCCTGGGCAACAGAGCGAGACTCCGTCTCAAAAAAAACAACAACAACAACAAAAAAAACATAAAAACTTTGTTAAGTGACTTACATGACATATAAATGTAGAGAACAGTTTAGGAGAATGAAAGATGAAAGATCTCAAAGGACTATCCCTTTCTCACTTCCATTTGTAAACTGGACAAAACATTACACCTGTCAGCCTATTTTTGGACTCATAGACCATCAAAGCTAGAAAGAATTTTAGATTTTGCCTGGCCCAGTCCCTCATTTAATAAAGGAACTAAGAGATAAACTGTTTGCTCAGGGTCATATGGGTATATATTGGCATGGTCAGCACAAAAACCCAGTTTTCAGGCCAGGCATGGTGGCTCATGTCCGTAACCCCAGCACTTTAGGAGGCCGAGGCGGGCAGATCACGAGGTCAGGAATTCGAGAGCAGCCTAGCCAACATAGTGAAACCCCATCTCTACTAAAAATACAAAAATTAGACCGGCATGGTGGTGCGCAGTCCCAGCTACTTGGGAGGCTGAGACAGGAGAATCGCTTGAATCCGGGAGGTTGTGGTGAACCGAGATCACGCCACTGCACTTCAGCCTGGGCAACATGGCGACACTCCATCTAAAAAAATAAAAATAAAAAACAAAATAGTTTTTTCTTGTGTATTTCCCCATTGAGAGTTTTTCTTCCTCTGCAATAAAGCACCATTTGGAAAAACTGTGGCAGAATGTGGTTTTCTAGAAACACTTGTATTCTATATGTTATTGTTTCTCACAGGGTATTTTTCTGCATGTTTTCAGGTCATCAGATCCTTAAAGTACGTCAGATAAAAGGAACTGTACTTATTGGAGTCAATTTTGTGGGCTATTCAGAGAAGAAAAGCCCAAAAGTGAGTGGAGATTATAATATAAGAAATATAAGTTAAATAATTGGAATATAAAGCTCTTCTTTAAAAGTTATACAACTTACATAAAGCTGAGACCATATACCTCTCTAATTCTGTTATTTTTGGCACTCGAGAGAGTCCTGGAAACTTCTCCCGTAGAGCTGAAGAATTAGACATTGATTATTATTATTATTATTATTTGAGATGAAGTCTCGCTCTGTCTCCCAGGATGGAGTGCAGTGACATCATCTTGGCTCACTGCAACCTCTGCCTCCCAGGTTCAAGCGATTCTCCTGCCTCAACCCCCCAAGTAGCTGGGAGTAGAGGCACCCACCACCATGCTCGGCTAATTTTTGTATTTTTAGTGGAGATGGGGTTTCACCATGTTAGCCAGGCTGGTCTCAAACTCCGGACCTCAGATGATCTGCCTGCCTCACCCTCCCAAAGTGTTGGGATTACAAGTGTGAGCCACTGTGCCCGGCCAAGAATTAGACATTTATATTCACTTTTGTGGTTCTTATTATATTTCTAGGAAATTTCCAACTTGCCCAGATCTGTAGATGTGGAACTGCTCCTGGTAGATGATGTAACTGTATTGCCTGAGAATGCCACCATCTATAACCACCCTGATGTGAAGGTAGAAGCTTTATGAGTCTGGTTAAATGGAATCGTATTGGAGGGAAAGTTATTAAAATTAATAGCATAACAATTAAGCTCACTTATGTGTTGAAAATAATTGATACATATATATGAAACACATATATAATAGTTGCACCATCCTTAAAAATTGTACCTTAATAATTGTATTTTGTCTTTTGTCCATTCACTGTAATCTTTTTATCCATATTCTTTCTTAGGTAGGTAGAAATTATTTCCTTTGAGCTATTTATAAACTGAAGTGAACAGAATATTGTTTGTCTGATTTTTCCATAGGAAATATTTAGCCTTGTGGAAGGATCTGGTTATTTTTTAGTCAACAGCAGTGAGCAGCATGTTGTCACCATCACTTACACGGAAGCAGAAAGCTCTGTTGAGGTGAGCTCTAGAGACAGTCCCAGATTGATGGTCTCAGGCCAACGCTCATTCTTAAGAGATTGATTGGAAAAATTCCATTTTGTGTCTAAAACTTGTTACACAAGTAACATTTTCCTTTCTTTCTTTCTTTAACCTATATAGATTCTTCAACCAAAAGGGAGTGCTTTTTTTGTTTCTGGTTGAACTGACACAGTATAAGAGATCTCTAGTTAAAAGAAGTTTTTTTCTTTTCCATTAAAAGAAGTTTCATTTTTTAAGTTTCAAAGCACACATCTGTGTAGATACTTAAAATATTTAAATATACTATTGACTTTATTTATTTATTTATTTTTAGATAGAGTCTCGCTCTGTTGCCCAGGCTGGAGTACAGTGGTGCAGTCTTGGCTCCCTGCAACCTCCACCTCCCAGGTTCAAGCAGTTCTCCTGCCTCAGCCTCCTGAGTAGCTGGGATTACAGGAGCCCACCACCATGTCTGGCTAATTTTTGTATTTTTAGTAGAGATAGGGTTTTACCATGTTGGCCAGACTGGTCTTGAACTCTTGACCTCAAGTGATCTGCCCAAAGTGCTAGGATTATAGCCGTGAGCCACCGCGCCAGGCCACTATTGACTTTACAACATGAATATATGATGTTTTCAGCCAGGACATGACAACTCAAAACATTAACCTAACTCCATAGTCAGTATGCCAAAGGATTTGTTTTTAGTTGATTTATAGTAATAAAAATAATACCATATACTAATATATGTATATAGTTCCTTTCTACAAGCTTCAAGTAATTTAACTTACCCTAGTCATAATATATGTTTTAAAAAGGGAAGACTGAGGTACAAATGATGTGAAAAAAAACATGCTATTGTGCAGGAACTGTAGCACAAAGAAAGAAAAAGCAGTGTTAGTTGGCCCAATGCTTTCTCCCCCTACTAGTGATTGTGGCATAAATGGATGCGATTTTTCTTCATGACATCCTTTCCTTGTTCATAATTGAGAAGCTGAATACATATGTTGGATTCTGCTTGAATTCAATCAACATAAATTCTGCTCTTTACTATTTGTTTTTTGTTTCGTTTTGTTTGGCAGAGATAGGGTCTCACTCTGTTGCTCAGGCTGGAGTGTATGGCGTGATCATAGCTCACTGTAGCCTTGAGCTCCTAGATTCAAGTGATCCTCCCACCTCAGCCTGCTGAGTAGCTGGGATTATAAGTGTATGCCACCATACCCAACTAATTATTTTTGAGACAGGGTCTCACTGTTTCCCAGGCTGGAGTGCAGTGGCACAATCTCAGCTCACTGCATCCTCAACCTCCCAGCTTCAAGTGATCCTCTCTCAGCCTCCTGAGTAACTGGGACTCCAGACACGAACCACCGTGCCCAGCTAATTTTTGTTTTGTTTTGTTTTGGGTAAAGACAGGGTTTCACCGTGTCGCCCAGGCTTGTCTCAAACTCCAGGGCTCAAGCAATCCTCTCACCTCAGCCTCCCAAAGTGCTGGGATTACAGGCATGTGCCACCACGCCCAGCCTTGCTAATTTTTTTTAAAAAGTTTTTATAGAGACCAGGATTTTGCTTTGTTCCCCAGGCTGGTCTTGAACTCCTGGGCTCAAGCGATCCTCCTGCCTCAGCCTCCCAAAGTGCTGGGATTGTAGGGGTGAGCCACTGTGCCCAATCTATATTTGTTAAAGTACATATTTTGCCATGATTGGAAACATCACATTAAGGGTACATATTATGCTATGCCTGAATAATGTTACGTGACCTCTGAGAGTCCCCAGTTCAAAGAAAGCAAGATGTTGTCTATTCTGCTTTGGGTAAAAATAGTTGCTTTGATTATGCTTGGAGCTTGTTTGCTTCTTTATCCAGCTACCATCTTCTTACTTCTAGTTAGTTCCATTACATCCTGGATTTCTTACCTTGGAGGTCTATGATCTTTGTTTGGCTTTCTTGGGTCCAGCAACAGCCCATCTCAGGGTGTCAGACATACAAGAGCTGGAGCTTGATCTGATTGATAAGGTGAGACATGTTTGCTTTATCCCAGAAATTAAGCAAGCCTTATTCTCACTCCCCAGCATTCCTTAATATGGTCTCTGCTCAGCTACTGTGTGTGTGTGTGTGTGTGTGTGTGTGTGTGTGTGTGTGTGTGTGTGTATACCAGGACTTCTGGTAATGCTAATGGAAATACTTGCCCTTAAAGAACAACATTTCAACATTAAACAGATGAAGATAAATAGACTGTTAAAGAACAATTTAAAGGCCGGGCGCGGTGGCTCAAGCCTGTAATCCCAGCACTTTGGGAGGCCGAGACGGGCGGATCACGAGGTCGGGAGATCGAGACCATCCCGGCTAACACGGTGAAACCCCGTCTCTACTAAAAAAATACAAAAAAAAAAAACTAGCCGGGCGAGATAGCGGGCGCCTGTAGTCCCAGCTACTCGGGAGGCTGAGGCAGGAGAATGGCGTGAACCCGGGAGGCGGAGCTTGCAGTGAGCCGAGATTGCGCCACTGCACTCCAGCCTGGGCGACAGAGCGAGACTCTGTCTCAAAAAAATAAAAATAAAAATAAAAGAACAATTTAAAACAATACACACAGATTAAGCTTATTTGATTGAAGGCTGACCAGGATCATTTAGCATGAAAGAAAAAAAAAAAAAAAAGTACACTGCCCTCTAAGAGTTAGACTGCCATTGGTGAATGAGACACCTTTACTAAAATCTTTTTCTTTTTAACTACTAGGTTGAAATAGGCAAAACTGTGTTAGTGACTGTGAGGGTTCTTGGCTCTTCCAAACGCCCATTTCAAAATAAATACTTCAGAAACATGGAACTCAAACTGCAGTTGGCTTCTGCCATTGTCACCCTGACGTAAGTACCATTTCAATACTTCCTTTCCCCTATGCATAATACCATAAGACTCTCCCTCCTAGTAACCTGGTCAGCTTTCCCTTAGATTATTTCAGATTTTCTCCCTTACTTTTTTGTTAGAATACATTTCAGCCTATACTCTCTTCCCATATTCAGCTCTCTACAAAATACCTATTTGAGCCTGGCGTGAGGGTACATGCCTGTAGTCCCAGCTACTCAGGAGGCTAGGGCAGGAGACTCACTTGAGCCCAGGAGTTGGAGGCTATAGCGCACTATAATTGCGCCTGTGAATAGCCACTGCACTCCAGCCTGGGCAACATAGCAAGGCCCACATCTCTTAAAATACACACACACACACACACACACACTCTCTCTCTCTCTCTCGAGGTCCTCAGATGCCTTGTGTCATTAATATTTCCAATTTCTGAAATTTCTCCTTGGGTGATATCTTTTGGGGGTGCTTCAGTCTAGAGGACCCTTCAAAAATATATTTAGAGGCAGAGGTACTGGTATTCCCCTCTGAGAAAGGAGAAATTCAGGAATTTCAGGCAATTTAGTATTTGCAATTCTACCAGTCTGTTTTTATATTGCCCTTATTCCTCTGGAGCCTTAGAACAAATTTTTGCCTCTCATGAGCCTTCCACCATTCCCTTGAAATTTGTCTTCACTCTGGAAATTTATTTTCTGGCAATTCCCCCTAACCAGAGTTAAAATGAGCAGAAAGTGTTAGGCACCTTGGAAAGATGCACCACTGGCCACTTTCAGAACCTAATCTTGGCCAAGAGTGGTGGCTCATGCTGCAATCCCAGCATGATGGGAGACTGTGGCAGGAGGATTGCTTGAATCCATAATTCAAGACCAGCCTGGGCAACACAGTGAGACCCCGGCTCTACAAAAAATAAGAAAATTAGCCAGGCGTGGTGGTATGTCCCAGTTACTCAGGAAGCTGAGGTGGGAAGATACCTAGAGTCTGGGAGGTTGAGGCTGCAGTGAGCCGAGATCATGCCACTGCACTCCAGCCTGGGCGACAGAGTAAGACCCCATCTTGAAACAAAACAAAAATCTTTCTAACCTGAAAATACATGGGTTTTTGCAGGCTAATGGAGGAACAGGATGAATACTCTGAAAATTATATTCTTCGAGCTACCACTATTGGCCAAACCACACTTGTGGCTATTGCTAGGGACAAGATGGGAAGAAAATACACATCAACTCCTCGGCACATTGAAGTAAGGAAATTATCTCACCCAAAATTTGTAGTTTTTCTTGCTTAACATCATTTGTCTTTTTCTGTTAGTTTATACAAGTTAAAAATCATTTGACTGGCTGGGCACAGTGGCTCACACCACCGTGTGAGCAGTTTGGGAGACTGAGGTGGGAACATCACTTAAACCCAAGCATATGAAACCACCCTGGGCAACATAGTGAGACTCTGTCTCTACCAAAATAAAAATAAAATAAAATAAATTAGCCAGACATGGTGGTGTGCCTGTAGTTCTAGCTACTCAGGAGGCTAAAGTAGGAGGATCACTTGAGCCCTGGAGGTTGAGGCTGCAGTGAGTTGTGATTGTGCCATTGCACTCCAGCCTGAGTGACAGAGAGAGACCCTGTCTCAAAAAAAAAAAAAATCATTTGACTGAAAAAAAGGATAGTGTCTAACTCTTGCACAACATGCAGTATTTTTGGTTTTGTTTCTCTGTATAAAACAGTTCTCATAGAAAATTTAGAAAAATATGTGTAGTGGTGCATGCCTGTGGTCGCAGCTACTTGGGAGACTGAAACGGGAATGTCACTTGAGCCCAGGAGAAGTTCCAGGCTGCAGTGAGCCGTGATTGTGCCACTGCACTTCAGTCTGGGTGACAGAATGATACCCTGTCTCTTAAAAAAAAAGAAAATAAAATAAAATTTGGAAAGCACAAATTTTGAAGATGTTAAATGAAAATCACCTGTAATTTCACTTCTTAGAGGCAACCGTTGTTTTTTTTCGTTTGAGAGAGTCTTGCCCTGTCGCCCAGGCTGGAGTGCAATGGTGCGATCTCAGCTTAATGCAACCTCTGCTTCCCGGATTCAAGCGATTCTCCTGCCTCAGCCTCCTGGGTAGCTGGGATTACAGGTGTGAGATACTGCACCGCCCAGCTGTTCTACTTTTGTTATTGTTTTTGTTTTTGTTTTTGTTTTTTTGAGACGGAGTCTCTCTCTGTCACCCAGGCTGGAACACAGTGGCGCAGTCCCGGCTCACTGCAAGCTCCGCCTCCCGGGTTCAGGCCATTCTCCTGCCTCAGCCTCCCAAGTGGCTGGGACTACAGGCGCCCACCACCATGTCTGGCTAATTTTTTGTATTTTTAGTGGATACAGGGTTTCACCGTGTTAGTCAGGATGGTCTCGATCTTCTGACCTCGTGATCCACCCAACTCGGCCTCCCAAAGTGCTGGGGTTACAGGCATGAGCCACTGCGCCCGGCCAGCTGTTCTACTTTTATGTGTTCAAAAAAAAGAAAAAAAGAAAAAAAGAAAGTTAACTGTAAGCATAATTTTAATAGTCACTTTTACTCTAGTGAATGGATATATAACTTATTTAAGTATTCCCACTTAAATACTTTTAAATTTTTTGCTATTATAAATAAAATTACGTATCTTTGTGTGTAACTTTTTTGTATATAATTAGGAGTTTTCCTTAGAATAAGATCATGATGGGCTGGGTTTGGTGGCTCATGCCTGTAATTCCAGCACTTTGAGAGGCTGATGCAGGAGCATGACTTGAGCCCGGGAGTTTGAGACCACCCTGGGTAACATAGGGAGACCCCATCTCTGCAAAAAATTAATTATTCAGTCATGGCCAGGCGTGGTAGCTCACACTTGTAATCCCAGCACTTTGGGAGGCCAAGGCAGGTGGATTACCTGAGGTTGGGAGTTTTAGACCAGCCTGGCCAACATGGTGAAACCCCATCTCTACTAAAATACAAAATATTAGCTGGGCATGGTGGCAGGTGCCTGTAATCCCAGCTACTTGGGAGGCTGAGGCAGGAGAATCGCTTGAACCTGGGAGGCGGAGGTTGCAGTGAGCTAAGATCTCACCACTGCACTCCAGCCTGGGTGACAGAGCGAAACTCCGTCTCAAAAAGAAAGGAAAGGAGAGGGGAGGAGAGGGGAGGAGAGGAGGAAGGAAAGGAAGAAATTAGTTAGGCATGGTGGTGCACACTTCTGGTCCCAGCCACTCAGGAGGCCGAAGCACCCAGGAGTTCAAGGCTGCAGTGAGCTATGATCATGCCACTGCTCTCCAGCATGGGCAACAGAGCAAGACTGTGTCTAAAAAAAAAATTTTTTTTAATGACTATGGTATGTTATAAAATTGACTCTAGTTAGTTACTTGTCCTTTTGGTTTTCTCCTTCAAGGTGTTTCCTCCATTCAGACTTCTTCCAGAGAAAATGACACTGATTCCAATGAATATGATGCAGGTGAACTTACAGGCAGAAAAATAAGATTTACCTTTTCTCCTTATCCCTCTCTCTCTCTCTCTCTCTTTCTCTCTCTCTCTCTCACACACACACACACACACACCCCTTTTCCTATTGATCTCTTATTTACTCTCACCCAAATACTACTGAATCTGATAAAGAACAAGATTAGTATTTTTCCTGGCCTATGATGTACATCATATAAAAACTCTCTTGGAATCCCATGGATCATTTGCAGTACTTCCATCTCTTCTGCATTTGAGTTGATATGGGATATATTTTTCAAGAAATGGGGGAAATGAAGAAGTTAAGTTGCTTTGACAAAATGTTGGGAAAAGAGACATGATTTCTCCCTCGTGTTCTAGGCATTCAATGGTATATTTAAATTCCAGGTAATGTCTGAAGGTGGCCCCCAGCCCCAATCCATCATTCACTTCTCCATCAGTAATCAGACCGTGGCTGTTGTTAATAGAAGGGGGCAAGTTACAGGGAAGATGGTTGGCACAGCTGTGGTTCATGGCACCATCCAGACAGTAAATGAAGATACTGGCAAAGTCATTGTGTTTTCTCAGGTATTGGTTATTTGCTCTGCTTTGCTTCTACTCTTCTATCGAGGAACCATACTGGGGGAGATGGGGAGGGAGTGGTAATGAGGAGGGTGTCAGCAGCCCAGGTAAAGCCTTTTAGTGCCCCCGTCTGGCATTTTGTCAACCAGGCATGGAAGATGTCATCTGTAGTGAAAACCCCACAGAATACTTGGCACTGTTATAAGATATGGTCCCCATCCTTAAAGAATTATTTGAAGAAGAGAAAAACAAATACGTCTATCTAATAAGTATTTTCCAAATGTTTGTAATTCATAATAATATATATATGTATGGGGTACATTGCCAAGATGAGCTCGGTCATGGAGACCCTAACCCAGTGGGATTGGAGGAATTAAAGACATACACACAGAAATATAGAGTGTGGAGTGGGAAATCGGGGGGCTGGCAGCCTTCAGAGCTGAGAGCCATGAACAGAGATTTACCCACATATTTATTGACAGCAAGCCAGTGATAAGCATTGTTTCTATAGATTATAGATTAACTAAAAGCATTCCTTATGGGAAACAAAGGGATGGGCTTTGGCTAGTTATCTGCAGTAGGAACATGTCCTTAAGGCACAGATCACTCATGCTATTGTTTGTGGCTTAGGAACGCCTGAAGTGGTTTTCTGCCCTGGGTGGGCCAGATGTTCCTTACCCTCATTCTGGTAAACCCACAACCTTCAGCGTGGGCATCATGGCCATCACGAACATGTCACAGTGCTGCAGAGATTTTGTTTATGGCCATTTTGGGGGCCAGTTTATGGCCAGATTTGGGGGCCTGCTCCCAACATGTTCCCCCTTTTTATTTTTGCAAGACAATAAAAGCAAAGGCGGCTTTATCATGGTGAGCTACTTCTTGCAGAAGTCAGGATCTGCATCTGCAGACTATACAAAGACAAACTACACAGATTAAAAGCACAATTATCATTGAAATCACAGAGCCTCCAAGTGTTTTTATCCATTTTAACAGATTACTAGCTGCTAATCTGTCTGCAGCTCCGTCAAGCACTCCAGTTCCTGGCATTAAGGTCCGGTGTGCCTGGGATGCTTTAAATATTTGTTCTTTTAATTTTGCAATATCCAAAGACAAGTCTGTAGAGTGTCCTTCTAGATGCCTTTTTATTCTTTCCCAAATTTGAATCTTATTAAGAGCCATTAATAGTTTCCACAAATCCTTATGTTTAGCTCCTACAGTGGGCCATATAATTTGAGGTTGAGGTGCCATTCTACTGCCATGTTTCCAGATAATAGGAACTCTTGCCGTACTTCTTATCATTTCTACCGTCTAACCATTTTGTTCAGACCAGCTGAACATAGTGTGGCCATGGCACACAGAGTGGGAGGTGCAATTCATGCTAAACATTCCCTTAGGGGACCAATCAATAATGCAATAATGTTTCCATAGGAATCGTTGTGCAGCACCTCTGCCTGTTCTGCAATACAATCTTCCCAAACAAGTACATTCATTATTTCTGACCAGGTTCATTTCTGTTAACAAATAGGTTTTTGAGGGCAGTATGCCTCAATTATAGGAGCAGATTTATTGTGGTAAATACTGAGGTCAGAAAGCATGTGTAACTGTGTCATAGAGTGATTACACCCAGGCATTATTGCCAGCCAAGATTGATAAATATGTCCAATAAGTATAATTGTTCTCTGTGCCAGCCCTTGTTGAAGGAATACTCATGGCAATGGTGATCACCACTATCATAGCTTTTGTTAAATTACTCATTGTGACTGGCTGTCCCGCTTTCCTCAGGTTTTCTTCCGCCATCTGTGACAGCTTCTTGATCTGTCTCCGGGTAGGTGGCTGTGTTCAACAGGTGTTGCTTGTGACAGTTGGGGTCCTCCTAAGCATCAGTCTCGACATGGCTTCAACCAGGGGATCCTCAGGTTTCTCCCAGAATCTCTTCAGCCTCTGGCTCATGATAAGGTTTCAGGTGTCCTGATGGTATCCAAATTGGCTGTTGATTTGGTCCAGGAGAAACACAAGCATAACCTCTACCCCAAGTTATTATTTTACCTATTTCCCAACTTTTTGTTATCGGATCTCTCTACCAAACCAGTTTTTCTGCTTCTGTCTTTGTAGCTGGTTTCTGTAGATGCTGTTCAGCTGCTGATAGCATCTGGCCTTTAGGCAGGCTCAAAAAATTTAAAGTCAATAATGCTAGATTCAATTGCATATGTGGTGTCCTGTAGTCCCTATTTCTCCCCTTTTGCTTTTGCAACTGCTATTTTAGGGAGAGGTTCATTCTTTCCACTATGGCTTGTCCTTGAGAATTATATGGGATATCAGTAATGTGTTTAATATTCCATATAGAGAAAAATGTAGCTAGAGCTTGGCTAGTATAGCCTGGGGCATTATCTGTTTTAATAGAAGCTGGAATGCCCATCACCACAAAACACTGCAAAAGATGATGTTTAACAGAGGCAGAAGATTCTCTTGATTGGCATGTAGCCCAGACTAAGTGAGAAAAGGTGTCCACACATACATGTTCGTAAGCTAGTCTCCCAAACGAGGGAACACGTGTGACATCCATTTGCCAAAGAGAATTATGTTCCAATCCTCAAGGATTAACTCCTCCTGTAAAAGATGAGGAATGTATCATTTGGCAAGTTGGGCATTGCTGGATAATAGCTTTAGCTTCTTTCCAGGTAATGCTGTATCTGCGCTTTGAGACCAGAGGTATTAACGGGTTAAACTGTGAAAGTGTTGGCCAGGTGCAGTGGCTCACACCAGTAATCCCAGCACTTTGAGAGGCCAAGGTGGGCAGATCCTGAGGTCAGGAGATCGAGACCATCCTGGCTAACACAGTGAAACCCCGTCTCTACTAAAAATACAAAAAAATTAGCCGGGCATGGTGGCGGGTGCCTGTGGTCCCAGCTACTTGGGAGGCTGAGGCAGGAGAATGGCGTGAACCCAGGAGGCGGAGCTTGCAGTAAGCTGAGATCGCTCCACTGCACTCCAGCCTGGGCAACAGAGCAAGACTCCATCTCAAAAAAAAAAATTGTGAAAGTGTCTAGCATTATATATTGTAGTAGTAACTAGGCAATCAGCCATTCGATACCCTTCAGTTAAAAGTCCTGGAAGAGGTTTATGAGCCCTAAGGTGAATGATGTAAAAAGGGTGCATTCTACTCCTAACTGCTGTTTGCAATTGGGTAAATAAAGTCATCAGTTGCTCATCTGTGTGGAATTATAGCTGAGCATTTTCAACTAACTGTGTAGAATGAACCACATATGAAGAATCAGAACTCACATTAATAGGCATATCAAAAGCAGTCAATACCTCAATTATAGCTACGAGCTCTGCATTTTGAGCTGAAGTACAGGGCATCTGAAAAACTTTACCTTTCGAGCCAGAATAAGAAGCTTTACCATTATTAGACTCATCTGTGAAGACATTTTCAGCACCTTTAATTTGTTTAAATTTAGTTAATTTAGGGAGAATCCAATTAGTTAATTTCAAAAATTGAAATAATTTTGTTTTAGGAAAATGATTATTGAGAATACCCACAAATCAGCTAAATGGGTTTGCCAAGTAAGACTATTTATAAAAGCTTGCTGTATTTGTGCCTTTGTGAGTGGGACAATAATTTTTCCAGGATCTTATCCATGTAATTTGACAATCCGAGTTCTCCCATTTCCTATCGTGGGTAGCAATTTGATCCAAATAAGGAGTTAGAGTCTGTGAATTAGTGTGTGGAAGAAAAAGCCATTCTACTAAGTCCTGCCCTTGGACACCACCACCAGTAGGTGAATGCTGAGTTGAAAAAATTAGCAAATCTAGAGTCTTCTCTGAATCTATTCTATTTATCTGAGCTTTATGGACTTGCTTTTCAATCAGCCATAACTGTGCCTCAGCCTCTTTTGTTAATTGTCCAGGGCTAGTGAGACTAGGATCTCCTCTAAGGATAGAAAATAGATTACTCAAGGCAAGGTAGGAATGCCTAGAGCAGGTTGTATCCAATTAATGTCCCCTAGTAATTTTTGAAAGTCATTTAATGTTTTCAGTTGATCCCTATGTATGGTTACTTTCTGTGGCACTAGTGTAGTGTCATTTACTAAGGTCCCTAAGTAGGAGTAAGGAGTAGTAGTCTGAATTTTGTCAGGAGCTATAATTAAACTGGTGCAAGAAATCAAATTTTGCAAGTGATCATGACATTGGGGTAATATTTCTCGAGTGGGGGCAGCACAAAGTATATCGTCCACATAATGAAAAATGTAACACTGTGAAAATTTTTTATGAGTAGGTTCAATTGCTTGCTCTACACACCTCTGGCAAATTGCTGGACTGTTTAACATGCCTTGTGGCAACACTTTCCAATGAGAATGCTTAGCAGGCTGCAGGTTGTTTACTGCAGGAATTGTAAATGCAAACCATTCACAATCTTGCTCAGCTAAGGGGATAGTAAAGAAACAGTCTTTAGTGAGGTAAGGTATGGCAGGCTCAGCTCGGTAGCCCGGGATGGGTGGGCGCCTTCAGACAAGTACTGCTGGTGGCTTAGGTGCCCTTACCGGGCATCCTCCAGCATTCTGGGCACCTGCCTACCCCTTGGTGGGGAGGCTGGCCACAGGCTGAGCGCGCTCCAGGCTGGGTACTTCTCAGTCAGTCCATGAGCATCACGTGGTAGACTTTCACTTGGCCAGCCCTTCCCACACTTCTGGGCGTGTCATCAGGAAGGTAAAACTAGGTTAGAGGTGGAGGGAGCACTTCTAACCTGGAAGAATATTGAAGACTTCACTGAAGAAGTGTCATTTGAGAGGAGCTATGGAAAGAAAGATTGAAAGGAAACACATTGAATGAGGAAAAACTAATATACAGTCATTGACATCCTTGCATAACCTAGTTTTTAAAAAACTGGATTTCAAAGAAAACAAAGTTATCTTCCTTTCCAAATCCAAAAAGATGAAAACGAGTGAGATACTTTCAAAAGATAACCAAGTGAGCACCACAGACTAATGAGTAGAATCAATAAGAAC